ATTATTCTCTACCAGACTAGACCCTTTCCTTCTAATCCTTTCAGGGGTACCCTCAATGTCAGGGTGTGAAGATGCCCCTGGGATAGCAATGGCATGTTACAGACTTTCTCACTGCCTGTGCCTCCTCATCATTTTGAACACTTACCACTACATCTTTACCAGGGTGGGGTTAGAAGTGAAAAGAGGTTACAGTTGTTGCCATCTTAAACCTTGTTAGATTGGTGTGTGCAGGAAGGCACGGAGGAATGAGTGAGTCTGGGACCAGAATGAATAGCTAGAGGAAAATACATTTTTCCCGGGGAAACGAGGCAATGAAGAGCACCCCATAACAAAGGGCCTTGTCTGGGCTGCTTGCCTGTCTCTGGGATCTGCCCAGCTGTTGGGCACACAGGAGACTGTGGCGACCCAGAGCATGGACTGTCCCCCACACACTGCGTGTCTGTCCGCAGCTGCACAGGCCTGGGGAGTCCACTGTGAGAGTGAGCCTGTGCTGGGCTTCAGGCAGGCAGCCAGGGGCCGCCCCATCTCTGAGAGCATTGAGAAGCTTCTGTGTGTGCTCTGTATGTCTCAGCTTTCTTTGCAATTATAGTAGAGTCTGGCTCTGCTGGGTCTTTTGTGCCTGAGATCCTGAGTTAAGAATAACCACAGGAATACTGTCCCTGTTGACACACTTGATATGGAAGTTGCTGTCAAATGGCTATTTTTCCTCAGTCGCCACTGACGTCACACCACGTACAGTTCTGAGGTTCCCGCTTTAGTTGTGAGTGAATAGAGCTACGATCGTCAAAACAGAAAGAAGCCGTTCAGATGTGACTGTGTGAAGACGTGTCTGGTAATGTGCAGATGTTTTCTGGCAGGCCAATGAATATTTTAAATCTTTTGCAAGTAGTAGAAAGGATTGAACTGGGAATAGAGAAGATACTGTGGCAAGGGAAAAGTATATCTCATTCTTTCTCAATTTTCCATCTCTTAAAATTATCAGACAAAAAAACCAAACCATGATTTAAATCTTGGAGTCATCAAGGCCCTTAAATCTCTTTCATCATATGTGAGATACGATTATGACTCTAATTCATTGAATCTCAGTTTCTCAGTCACATTTTTTATATAAAAAGAAAATGTTGGCTAATATTAAAAGTAATAGCAGAATCTCTCCAGATTGGATCCTTGTCACTTATCTATAGCTAAAGACACAGGACTAAATTTAGAGAAGAAGGTTATTTATATATTGTGTATGGCATATCGGCACATGCTGAATTTATATATATACACACACATACACACGCCGCTACTCGTGCATACAGGAGGAAGTGGAGTGGAGTTGACTTAGACAGTTTCATTCCCTTCATCTCTTACTGTCGGTTCTTCATTGATTACTCTGTCACCACCCCTCTTCACCCCTTCACCATCCACCAGCAAAGATGGCTCAAGCCCATGTTGTGTTGCAGGCATTGTGCTCAGTGCTGGGACTGCTGCAGGAGGTGTCGCCCTGGCCACTGATGAGCTGACAGTCTAGCAAGGAGACAGTGAAATGGTTTCTGCCTAAAGTGCTTTGAGAACACAGAGGAGAGGAAATCTAGTTCTACAGGAAATGGCGCCAAAGGAAAACAAGAATGGAAAGATGATTTTGAGCTGGACCCTGAAGAGCAGTTTGTTGTTGTTAGATACCATGAAGTGGATTTTGACTCATACTGACCCCATGTGACAGAGTAGAACTGCCCCATAGGGTTTTCTAGGCTGTAATCTTTATGGGAGCAGGTTGCCAGGACTTTCTCCCTCAGGGCCGCTGGGTGGGTTTGAACCACCAGCCTTTCAGTTAACAGCTCAGCACTTAACTGTTGCTCCACCAGGGCTCCTTGAAGGCCAGTTAGGAGAAAATTGTACTGATTCAGCAGGGTTGGTAGATTGGAAAGATGATAGCGCTTAGTCCAGTGCCAGAAGTATGCTGGGGGTGCCATCTATGTCTTCACTCCTTCCTGGGATACAGACTGGTTGAAAATAAAATGGTATGATACAGAAATGTGCCCCTAGCACTGGCTGACTTCTTAGCAGGCATACATCATGTCTCATGATCTGGTCTCCGCCTTAGTTTCCCTCCTTTTTCCCACCGACCTGTCATCCTCTTGCCCATGGCTCTGCCCTGTAGCACTACCAAGCCTCTCGCCATTCTCTGAACATGTGGCGATGCCTCCTTGACTGGGTACAGATTATTCCCTCTGCCCGCACTGTCCTTTCCCGAGGCGCCTGTGGAGGTTCAGGGGGAGATGTCCCATAGGCATTTGGGAATACACGAGCAGTGGGGACTGGCAGGATGGGTATATCAAGAGAGTTCAAAGTTGAAGCCTTCTTGGTTTTAATTTTAGAATATATGTGTATTCTCCCAGAGATGGAGGGTTTGATCTGATCTAAACAGTTGGGAGTAGAAAGTAGTTCATTTTGTTCAGGGCCTAGTCCTTTGGCTTCCATTCCTGCAGTCAGCCACACATTTGCAGTATTTATTGATCATCAGCCTTTTCCACTGGGGTATCTGGGTCACATCAGTCATGTTTCTCAAAACATCAGCAGTACTTCAGCAGGAAGAATAAAAGCGTGGAAAATGCACTAATGCTGCAAGCCCACAATTGAATACATAGGTAACTATTTTAAATGTCTATGTATGTATATATACATATATGTATATCTATATATAGATATACATGTATGTGTAGGTGTACATATATACATGGGGGAGAAAAGGGTTGTATGTTGTCTTAAGCCTTGGAAACCTAAAACTTTGATATTTCAAAAATCTAGATTTAGAATAAAGACAAATTAGAATAATAATCGATCAGTTTTTAAAACGGACTTTTAATATTTTATCCATCTTTATGCTTGTTTAAACAATAGAGCTGGTGCCTGAAAATATCTGAAGCTGTGTATGTTTGCAGGGAGTCTTTGAAGTTAAAGCTGTGGCATCCTTCCTTTGGTTTATGGCTGCAGGATGATGCATCTATGTATTGTCTTTGTTAATTAACTCCATCTGTTTAGTAAGACTGAAAAATAAATTGGGTGATGCTGTATATATGTATGTACGGACAAGATTCCTTGTGGAATAGTAAGCCAGCAGCTTCAAATGGGGTCTCAGTTTTCTTTTTAGTACCAGTTACTAAAGTGCCGTGGAGTGGAGGCTCATTCTTCCAAAGCCTGTTGTGAAACAGGCACACTGTGTCGTTTCAGTTGTGTGTGCCTGGAAGCCCACGTCCTCCTAAGTAAGGGGTATTATTAAGTTTCCTCACTGCTTTACAAAAGGGGAATGATTCTCCAAGTGCTCTTTCTATGGCAGACCAAGGAATCCTTCACTGCAGTAAGAAAATTCCTTGTTTTGGTGTGGAAATCAGAATGGCAACATTCCTAGACCTCTATGAAGTGCTCAAGAGCGAAAGTCATACTTGCACTATGTATGTGTTCCTTTTGGTGAAAGCATCTCACAGTACTGAGTTTCTCTTTTCTGGTTACATGGAGGCAAGTTAAAAGTTTTAGACAAAGGAAATTTCCAATTTCTACAGCTCAGTGCTGTCTAGATCCCCATGGCTTAACAAGAAGAAAAGGCATGTGTTGACCAGTGGTATCTTCTTGGTTAGGACAGGGCAGCATGTCTTAGAAGGATGAAGGAGATGGTGTGATGTGGAATGCTAAGGGATGAGCTGTGGCGACATGCTCATTAGCACATTCTTTCCCTGGAACCCCAATGTGGTGGTTCCTTTGCTTGTCTGCAGTGAGTTCATGATTTCAGTACCCATCTGCATAGGACAATATATGAGTTTCTAATTCTCTTCCCCAAGGTCATTTTTTCTTTCCTTCATTCTGAGTTAGCTTTGATTAAACAAAACAAAGATGTTACTGTTAATTACTCATCCTTTCAGACAGCACAAAAATTCTCTTTTGTATGTGTGGCATGTGGATTCTCTTTTGTGTATGGTTTTGATAGGGATAGTAATTTATGATGGGATTGTTTTAAATCATGGACTAGAAGGAAAGATGCTAAAAATTATATTGAAAAAGCTTAAGAGTCTCCACTAAGATAGGGAAAATTGTTTCTACCACTCCCCCTCCTCCCCCCCGGCCCTAGGTTCCTCAGGTCAAACCATTCACTTTCTGCCTGTCATATTGTTGTCAACATAATTCCATTCAACCATTTTTATTGTTCTCTTTAGACACCTTATTAAAACCGAAGCTTTGTGCAAACAGCTAAAATTACAAATAATAAATGAGGTACCATAATATTGGCAGTTTGTAGGCAGAGTGCATGAGCAAACTGGAAATCTGCCATCCAGCTCTGACATTTTAAAGATTAATGTGAACTGGGCATGAGTACCCTCAGAATCAGTACTCAGCCTTACCAGGGGCTTGGCACAGGGGTCTGAGATGATCCTGGGCCTGGGGTTTCATGCACAAGTTAGCGAAGGCTTGTGCATTCGCAAGCCTACCAGAGAGGGGAACCCCAGCTGATGGGAAATAGGGGCAATTCCCATAAGGCTGTATTGATAGTGAGGCCCACCCACAGTCAGACAGAAAGTGGGGCAGATATGGGCTGGGGGTTGTAGAGAGACTTAAGCCAATAGGTAAGTTGAATAAGGCCCTGGTAGAATCATGTGTCTCAAGCATGGGTGACTGTGGACACTATGAAGAAGGGAAGAGCATTGTGTGTGTGTGTGCGCGTGTGTGTGTGCGTATACACACAAGTTCACACACAAGACCCCCATCCTTGTCTTTCCTACCTTCAGGAGGTAGAATATCATATTGGCTTCCGTTGGTGGTACAGGGCCAGATCTTTGCAGTTTCAGGCAGGTGTTTGTGGCAACTGTGACTTAGCGACGACTGTGTGAATGAGAAAAATTTTGTGGGTAAATTGATTGTCTGCAGAAAATGGAAATTCTATGGTAGCCCTTTTTGGGTGGTTTACAGGCAAAGAGTACTCAGTTCTCTTGATTTCTCACTATTTTTTTCTTCTTCTTCTACAGTTCTTTGAAGAAGCAGGATGCTGATCTAGACGTGGAAAAAGTAAGTTGACTAGTTTTGCTCTGAGAGCATGTAACTTGTGAACACAAGAGATCGGGACCCAGGACACAGTTCACTTTCAGCTTTGGATTATGATTCTGAGGCCATTGGTTTCTGAAAGAGAGATTGAGTGTATGAAGTAGAAAGAAGATCTTGACTGGCTTAGGCAAACCTGTTATTTTCCCCTTTCCCTTGGTTGTATGGAAATGTGTATTTTAGCTACTAGCTAGTCATGTCCTCTACCCCATTTGATTTGGAAGAAAAACTTTTTTAATGAAATATACATGAAAACTTGTTGTAGCTACCCCCGGTAGTTTTTGGAAGGAGGTAAAATGTAAATTATAAACCAATAATTTTTCATATTTCAATGAAGTTTTTGTGTGGTGCCTCTTCTACGTTACCTTTTAAAAATAGCTCAACTGTGGATAGTCCCCTGTTTTAACCCTAGGTTGAATCTGTGAAGTAACAGTGGGAGAAGAAAGGCAGTAAAAATTTGACACAAACTTGCTTTCTTAAAGAAATTTCATTTTACAGTATTCCAGGAATAGACTTGAACAGCTGTCCTGTGGCAGATGAGCCTTTGGGGGCTGGTGAAGGATGGATATAGTGTTCTGCCTTCAGACTAAGGCAGGTTTGCTTTAGTCTGTTCATTGTTGCTGTTTTGTCCTCCACTCTCAAATGTCTACTGCTTACCACTGCCCTAGTTGTTACCTTTGAATTGCAGTCACTGTGCTAACAGGTCATTCTTCCATTTATTGAACATTTATTTGGTGCCCACTGGGTTTTAGACATGTTGCTGGGCTCTGTTGAGACAAAAAAATGAATGTGACAGATGGGTACGCAGATAATTATAATACAGTGAGATAGAGCGCAGCAGAAGAGGTTCCAGAAGCTCAGACTGAGGACTGGACTATATGGAAAATTCCTTGATGAAGGGGGGTGCCTGAAAAAAGTATTCATTTTTTTCTGCAAACATTTGCTGAGTCTTCTCTGTACTCTTCTCTGCCTGCACTTCTCTCTTGTCTGATAGGTGCATTGAATTCCCCACTGAAAGTCTAGACTTCCAGAATCTCACTAGCCAGTCATGGGATCCTTTCCTGCCCCAAGCTGCTCTGCCCAGTAACATTGCCTTGGATATAATTTTTTAGTTATTCTGAGTTATGTTTATAGTTTCCTTGGCCACTTAGGGGCTACTACTTTACCAGGGTTATTTCTTGTTCTCAGTTTGTGTGAAAAAGAGGTTCTTCCCCGTTGTCTTAGTCATCTAGTGCTGCTCTAACAAATACCACAAGTGGATGGCCTTAACAAAGAGAAATTTATTCTCTCACAGTCCAGTAGGCTACAAGTCCAAATTCAGGGCATCAGCTCCAGGGGAAGACTTTATCTCTCTGTCGACTCTGGAGGAAGGTCCTTGTCATCAGTCTTCTCTTGGTCTGGGAGCATCTCAGCGCAGGAACCTCAAGTCCAAAGGACATGCTCTGCTCCTGGCACTGCTTTCTTGTTGGTATGAGGTCCCGCCTCTCTGCTTCCTTCCCTTTCCTTTTGTCTCTTGTAAGATAAAAGTGGTGCAGGCCACACCCCAGGGAAACTCCCTTTACGTTGGATCAGGGATGTGACCTTAGTAAGGGTGTTACAATCCCACCCTAATCTTCTTTAACATTAAATTACAATCACAAAATGGAGGACAACCATACAATACTGGGAGTCATGGCCCAGACAGATTGATACGCATGTTTTTTGGAGGACATAATTCAATCCATGACACCTGTGAAGTAGGGCCGTTCTGTATGCAGCCAACGTGAATGTTTTAAGTTGAAGATGCATGCTATCTGAAACATTGTTCTCAAACAATTAATGAGCAACCCGTGCCCTTTGACCCCATGCAGTTCTCCAGCTTCTATAGAATGGTCTGTGATCTACTTTCCCTCATGCTCTTTTTAGCTCACACAAACCAGGAGGATTAGGGGAAATAAAAAATAGATTGCTGTAGTCTAGGGCAAGGCAGAGGGGAGCCATTTTAAAATTTCCATGTGCTTAGGTTTTGGCCATGGAAACCAGGGGTAAGCAAAGGCTGTCCCCCTGGGAGGTCAGTACCATGGTCCTTCTGGGCTAGACCAGGCACATAGCAGGCTGGAGTCTGGGTGTCAGGAGCCACCTCAGGGTGGTATAGCATAGAGCTTAGCAGCAGAAGCAGCAGTCCAGAAAATCCCTGGTGTTGCTCTGGATTGCATGACATTCCTGCCCTGTCCAATTCAGGCAGAGTTGAATCCTACTACCACAAGGGGGGGAGGTCCAGTTTGTGGAGGAGGTGAGTGTTAATCTGAGTTCCTACTACCACCCCAATTCTAGGCAAACAATAACAAAGACAAAACAAAACAAAAACCAAACCCATTGCTGTCGAGTCGAATCCTACTCATAGTGACCCTATAGGACAGAGTAGAACTGCCCCATTGGGTTTCCAAGGCTGTAATCTTTATTGAAGCAAACTGCCACATCTTTCTCCCTAAGAGCTCTCTGACCTTTTGGTTAGCAGCAGAGCACTTAGCCATTGTGCCGCTAGGGCTCCTAGGCAAACAGTGTTGTTGTCGTTAGGTGCCATCAAGTCAGTTCCGACTTATAGCAACACTGTGTACAACAGAACGAAACACTGTGAGGTCCTGCGCCATCCTCACAATCATTGCTATGTTTGAGCCCATTGTTGCAGCGACTGTGACAATCCATCTTGTTGGGGTCTTCCTCTTTTTCACTGACCCTCTACTTTACTAAGCATAATGTCCTTCTCCAGGGACGGATCCCTCCTGATAACATGTCCGAAGTATGTGAGATGAAGTCTTGCCATCCTTGCTTCAAAGGAGCATTCTGGCTGTACTTCTTCCAAGACAGATTTGTTCATTCTTCTGGCATTTCATGGTATATCCAATATTCTTTGCCAACACCACAATTTAAATGCATTAACTCTTCTTCTGTTGTTCTTATTCATTGTCCAGCTTTCACATGCATACGAGGTGATTGAAAACATCCTGGCTTGGGGCAGGTGTACTTTAGTCCTCAAGGTGACATCTTTGCTTTTTAACACTTTGAAGAGGTCTTTTGCAGATGATTTGCCCAATGCGATATGTCTTTTGATTTGTTGACTGCTGTTTCCATGGGCGTTGATTGTGGATCCAAGTAAAATGAAATCCTTGACAACTTCAGTCTTTTTTCCATTTATCATGATGTTGCTTATTGGTCCAGTTGTGAGGATTTTTGTTTTCTTTATGTTGAGATGTAATCCATACTGAAGGCTGTAGTCTTTGATCTTCATCAGTAAGTGCTTCAAGTCCTTTTCGTTTTCAACAAGCAAGTTGTCATCTGCATAATGGAGGTTGTTAATGAGTCTTGGTCCAATCTAATGCCCCATTCTTCTTCATATAATCCAGGTTTTCAGATTATTTGCTCAGCATGCAGATTGAAAAGGTATCATGAAAGGATACAACCCTGACACATACCTTTCCTGATTTTAAGCCATGCAGTATCCCCTATTTCTGTTGGAATGACTTATAGCAAGCCTCTTGGTCTTTGTACAGGTTCGACACGAGCACAATTAAGTGTTCTGGAATTCCCATTCTTCACAGTGTTATCCATAATTTGTTATGATCCACACAGTCAAATGCTTTTGCATAGTCAATAAAACACAGGTAAACATCTGGCATTCTCTGCTTTCATCCAGGATCTATCTGACATCAGCAATGATATCCCTCATTCCACGTCCGGTTCTGAATCCGGCTTGAATTTCTGGCAGTTCCCTGTCAATGTACTGCTGCACCTGCTTTTGAATTATCTTCAGCAAAATTTTACTTGCGTGTGGTATTAATAGAGCTCAGTAAATGGGGACATGAGAGGAATGACTTAAATTCTTGCTTCAACTCTGCTGTTAACTTGCAGTATGACCTTAGGCAAATTGTTTCTGTTCTCTGAGCCTCATTTTCCTCATCAGTAATGTGAGTTTACAACTTGGGTTGGTTAGAAGATGAGATGGTATTATACATACTAATACATTTTGTGAGTTCCAAAGCTTTAGAAAATACTGTTTCCATGCAGCTACTAATATTTCATGGTTAAAAAGCAGTGTGAGTTTTCAAATTGACTTTTGTCATTTACAAAGAAGAGAATCTTGGTTGTAAAAATATGTTGTATGTTGTTGTGTGCCATTGAGCTGATTCTGACTCATAGCAACCCTATGTAACAGAGTAGAACTGGCCCATAGGGTTTGCTAGGCTGTAATATTCATGGGAGCAGATCTCCAGGTCTTTTCTCCCATGGAGCAGCTGGTGGGTTCAAACCACTTACCTTTTGGTTAACAGCCAAGCACTTAACCATTGCACCACCATACAACCTCCCTTTTCCAGGACCAAGTAAAAATATTCATTTTTAAATTTAAAAATGCTAACCACATAACAGTTTTTGTTTTCTGACTTGGACCTTGTGCCAAAACGGCAGGGAGAAGGGGAGGCTTTCTGCCACTGATCTACGGAAGGACTGATAAGCCTTCCATAGATTGGGAGATCCTTGAGGACTGAACCTTGTCTGTTGTGCCTCCAGGAACCTAGCACTGGCAGCAATGAGTGTGTGTGACTTACCATACCCAGTGGGTTGGGTATTTGCATGTACTGAAGGAATTCAGAATAAGAGAATCTAAACATGGAGTGGGAAATGCTTCTTGGACTGAGTGAATTTGAGCTGCCTCTAAAGGGCTCTACCCACAAACCCTCTCAGTCAAATAGTTAATGACCTGTAAAACACTTAACTGCCTTAGGGGGGGAGTTCCCTCTTCTAAAAGCTCTAATTCAGAAACTCCCAAGTTGAGTCTCTTTTTTCTAATGCTGATAGAAGGCTATTGGACATAGATGTATCACCTATTCTTTTTGTCTGTGCTTGTGTCTCTGCCAGTAAGAATCCAGTGTTGTGCCTCCATTTTATAAGTAAATGGTACTCGTTGGCCAGCTAGAGTGAAGAAAAATCAC